TAGTGGCTATACCATTTTACATTCCCACCAAATGTGAGTAAGAGTTCCAATTTCTCCACAACCTCAAAAACATTCGTTGTTTACTGCCCTGTTGAACTTTGCTGTTGTTGCTGAGGACATTGTATAGTGTTATAAGTTATTTTTCAGCACTGTGTAGTATTTCATTCTGCCAATGTTACCATAGTTTCTCTAGCCATTGATTGTTGTTTACCCAAGTTGTATAATGTTTTACTAGTTCATTGCTGCATATTAGTCTATTGTGTGAATGTCCAGTTTTACTGTTCATTCAATTGGTGATGGGCACCAGGCTATTGCCATCTCTTTACTATTGTGAATAATGCTGCGATAAACATGTATGTGCATATAACTGATTGTGTCACAGCTCTGACCTCTTTAGGGTATATTCCCAGTTACTAGAATCGCTGGGTCAAATGATATTTGAGTTCCTTACTTTCTGAGGAAGTGCCAGATTGCCCTGTCTTTATTCCATAAGCTTTCCATTCCAGCTGTGTGTGATGACCACCCTGTGTGTCCACAACCACATCCTGAGAGCTACGTCTCATCTTTTCTGAGGCCAGCTCCTGCTTTGTTCTACTTAGTGTCAACACTTTCCAGAGGAAAAACACTGACTTTTTTCCCCAGTAAATAAAACTTTGACTAACAAAGCATTCCAGAAACTCCTAATTTTCATTTAAAAAAAGCAGTAACCAGTAGCTAATTGAAACATTTTTATTATCTTGGAATTTAAACTTTATACTGGCTAATCTCAAATTTAAGAAACTTGGGCGGATATGCTTAACAGATAGAGCTCCCTGTTCGTACTTTAATATATTTCTTTCACTTTCTACCTTGCTAGATTATTCCCACTTAAACTTTTCTAATGAGTAACGTTTCTTTTCTCCAACATTACTACAAATTATGTAAACTTTTTATTGGGAAACATTTGGGTGTACATAGCCTTCTTTTAAGGACTGGCCCCTCCAGCATACCCAAAGCATATGAGACAAAGTTTGATCACCCTGGTTACTTTCCTCCTAGACAGACTTGTCTGTTCTTTTGGCGACCTACAGGATATCAAACTCTGGTGGCCAAGTGGCAAGAAGCTGTGCTGCAGTCCTTGCAAAGGCACAAGGTTTGAGGCTACCAGCTGTTCTGTGGGAGAGGGATGGCCAGTCTTCTCCCATGCGATTAACTGCCTCTGAAAACACCGCCAGAGGGCCAGCTATGGGTCAGTTCCCACTTTATGGTACACAACAACACAATTCAAAGGCATCCATTCTTCTCCTGTTATCCTTATTCACCATCCAACTTTCAGATGCACAAGAACTGAGAATCTTTTTTAACAAACCCTGTCGTTGAGGAGGTTCTGTTTCACAGCTCACCCTCCATCGGGAATCTGAGGCTGTAAATTTTACCAGGAGACTGCCCACCCCTTTCACAGTTCTGCTGGGAGATTCAAACCTCTGAACACATAGCCTTCTGCGAGCAGCTCCACACCCTATGGACTATGCCGCCAGAGCTGATTAGTGGCTCTGGGTGATGTGAGGAGACCACAAAGGTGCTTGACTGCCCAGGACTGCCCTTGACTACGTCTAAGGGACTGATGGAGGAAGAGAAGCAGTCAGAAGGCAGGTCCAGAAACAAGGGAAAAATGAACAACTCAAACCAAAGTCATGAATGTGCTGACACAACATGGGAAATGTAACTGGTATCACTGGGCATCATGTGTAGAAGAAACTTGTGAATAGAAATCTGCTCTGCTGTGTTATAATAATATAATTAATATTAATTATATAAAAAATATAATAATCAAAAAGAAGTAAAAAGGTGAGCAGGACGGCATCCACCATCAAAGCCAGGTCTCTCCGACGTGAACAGATCCACAGGGGCACAGACTGGCCACTGCCGCGGCCACAGCACAGCAGTGTTGATGGCAGGGGTCGGTCAGGACTGGGCCCGAGTCAAAGAATGAGGGCTGGGCTCGAAGTGCTCAACCAGTTTGCCAGTGCAGAGAGGCATCAGTGCCATTTCAGGACTTAGCCCTCCTCGCTGTCACCTTCTCTCCAACTCCATCTGCCCAGAACAGCATGGGGAAAGCCGTCTCTCCCAGAAGACAGAAAACCGTCCAGGCACACAACCCTGACCTCGCCACTGAACTGTGGGATGAATTTAAGTTCTTAATGGGTGTGCACTGTCATTATTAAGGGTACTTCTTGGACTTTAATGTCCTAACATTGTTGTTACTGTTGTCATGCACCGTCAAGTCGCAATTGACCCAGAGCTGACCCTCCAGCGAGCCACCAGCGGCTGTAAACTGCACAGGAAGAGACGGCGCATCTTCCTCCTGTGGAACAGCGGGTGCCTTCGAACCGCCTGCCTTTGAGTTGCAGCACAAGTCCTTACCACTAGGCCACTGAGCTCGCTTATCTTAGCCTATCTTCTTACCTGCCATTGAGCTAGAAGGGACTCACAGCTGACCCTCCACACAGGACATTGTTCATCTTTCTCCCGTGAAGTAGCCGGTGGGTTTGAACTGCTTGCTTCTGGGTCTGCAATGCAACTCCTTATCACTAGGCTGCCAGCGCTTTCTAGGAAAGGAAGCGATCTTCTTTCTTCTCTTGTGCCACTGAGTCCAAAATGACCCATGGCTGACCCTCCAGTAGGCTTTCAGAGGCTGTAAATCACACGGGAGGAGACAGCCCGTCTTCCCTCCACAGAGCAGCTGCTGGCTTCTGCCTGCCTCTGGGCTGGCAGCACAGCTCCTTACCACTAAGTCACCGGAGCGCCTTTGGCCATGGCTAGAGAGCCTTCAAGGGCACTCAGGACACTTAAAACTCAACAGTAATCATGGTTCAAATTAACCCTATAGGAGGTATGCCAAAACAATCACCTCATTATGATCTGCTGTGAGTTTTTACATTTGCTTAACAACTTACCTCAGTGATCCTTTCAAATTCTCATTTCAACCAATTATTATTGTTTTGTGCCATCGAGTCCCTTGCGATTCATAGCAACCCTGAAACCTGCTCTCTCCTGCGTCAACTCTGTCTCAGACACACCTACCCTCATTACCCCAGTCACTGTATCAATCGATGGTCTCCCTCTCTTTCTCCATCCCTCCACCCTTCCAAGCACGATCTCTCTCTCCTAGGACCGGTCCCTCCTTGTAACATGCCCAAAGTATGTCAGACGAAGCTTCAGAATCCTTGACTCCAAGGTGCATTCTGGCTTCACCTTCTCCAGGACAAACCTGTTTGTTGTCCTTACAGTCCATGGTATATTCAACACTCTTCTCCAGCACCACAGCTCAAAGGCATCAATTCTCTTTCTATCATCCCTAGTCATTGTCCAGCTCTCTGACACATAGCAAGTAACTGCGAAGATTGTGGCCTACCTAGATCAGGCAAACCTTCACCTTAGTCTCCACCCTGACATTGTTGCTCTTCAGTACTCTGGAGAGGTCCCTGACAGCCGACTTTCACAATGCAAATTCGTCTCTTGATTGCTGGTACCAAGAGTGTTGATTGTGGAGTCAAGCAAACTAAGGCTGTTAACAATCCCAAAACTCCTCACCAACTATCACAATGCTGTCAATCGGCCCAGTGGTTCCACCAGTTAGCGGTAGCTAATTTTCAGCTGACTGGAGAAGTCAAAAGGCCAGCCTACAACGTACCAGACCTTTTGGCGAAGTGACTCCCCCAGAGCACTGCAGTCCCTGGGACAGAATCCAGGCCCGTCAGGGAAGCTGCTCAGGCTTCAGCCGCCCACCCAGCCGCCTCCCTCTGGCTCCTCCTCCCACTGACCAGGCCCATCAGGACCTGGTAATGTGCAGACCACGTGCCCAGCATATCTAGAGCTCAGTAATTAGTGGGCTATGAATGGATTTCTTCCCTCAATGGAACAGAAACAGCCACCATCCTCTGCAGCTTGCTTCAGATCATCAGGGCTTTTCTCATCACCAAAGCGAGTCCTTGGGGTTTCACATTCTTCACAAGGTCTTCCCCACTTCCTCAGCAGACAGCAGCTCCCAGTCAAATGCCCTCTGCGTAGTCGCCTGTTTACCCAACACACCACAAACTATGTTCGCTACAAGTCTTTATTCAATGACTTTCTATATTCAGTCAACACTTAAATCACTGCTAAACTCTTTCTGTACCTATTTGCATGACAATACAGCTCTTGACCTTGGATTACATTACAAAGGCAACAAAAGACAAGGGACAGCCTGTTTGGCTGTGATCTCCAAAGATGAGCACACTGCCACAGTCCAGTGAGCACAGAGGAAAATGGAGATGAGGATCCCTAGGAAGGGCCCCCAAAGCCTGAGGCCGGAAATGTAACAGCATCTGCTTTTTCCTTTGCCCGAGGGTCCACCCAGGGGCAAGTCTAAGGCACGGTGGTGAAGGACATGATTGGCCAACCAAGTGTGGTCCTCTGGTGCAGAGGCAGCCCCTCACCTGGAAACAGTGCAACAAGCATCTTCCTGGACACAGGTAAGCAGCAGCATCTTCTGATGGAAAGGAGACAGGGACCTCCTTGGAAGAGGGTGCCCCAGGAGATACACTCGGCCTCGAGACCAACAGGGGCCCTCTAAGGTCCCTGAGAGTAGCAGCCTGGGAACAACCAAGACTTTCAAAGACTGACAAGGCACAGAGTAGGGGAATAAAAAGGTAATACGTGAAAAAAACCCTTTGGCTTATAAAACCTCTGACCTGAGGCAGAAACAGTGTCTATCAACATGTAGAAACAAATATGATTGTATCAAATGATTATCAGCAAGGATTCTGCATTTCCCACGCTGCCTACATCCCAAGCCCCCGTCAACCCTCCCCCCACCCCCACGAGACACACAAACAGTATCTGCCGAGGAAGTCAGAGGGTGGCATCCAGCGCTGATGGCAGGCTAGATAGGACTCTTGGCACTCTGCACAAATTGCGGTAGTCCATCCCAATGGACCGTGAGAGTAACATCAGCCTATGTTGGTCCATCTCAGGAACAGTTAGGCTGCACCGAAGCTGGTCGGGTCTGGAAGATCCTTCACCTCGCCTACTTCACTGAAAGGCTGCCCGCCCTGATTGAAGGTCAACTTGTACCGCAACCGGATGGGCTCCTGAACAAAGACAAAATGGTAAATTAGTAGGGGTGACACAGAAATCGCCCAGAGGAAGAGTCTTCACCCACCTGGCACAGCTGCCAAGGAACAGTTTGTTTGTTAACATGTGAAGGCTTCAAACCATTGCATAGCATGAATGTCTGGGATGCAAACACAGGGGAGTCCTCCCACATGCCTGTAGTCCTGAGATGGATGACAGTTCAGAGACACCAGCTAAGGAAGGCAGAAGAAATTCACCCCTCAGGGCTCCCATACTACAAGGGGAAGTTCACATGTTCCCCTCGGGTCCAATTGTGACATTTATCAGAGCTCTCTTACTAAGCCCCAAATTCCTCTTGGGTCCAACTGTGACGTTTATCAGAGATCCTTTACTAAGCCCCAAATTCCCCTTGGGTCCAACTGTGACGTTTATCAGAGATCCTTTACTAAGCCCCAAATTCCCCTTGGGTCCAACTGTGATGTTTATCAGAGATCTTTTACTAAGCCCCAAATTCCCCTTGGGTTCAACTGTGACGTTTATCAGAGATCTTTTACTAAGCCCCAAAGGAAACAGACTCTAGCAAGGAATATTTCCCCAACACCCTCAACCAAACTAGAGACCGGAGCCAGACGTCAAGATGCCTCTCTGCACTTTCACATGTGCCTCCCTTGAGTTCAAGGCTCCAGTTTCTTGCTAGCAAAGACAAGACCCAGGACATACTTTGTGTGGATTTTCAAGCAGCAGCAGCTGAGAGATCATGGTGGGAGGCATCAGAGGGTTGAAGGCAGGAAGCTTGGAGCTGGACGCCGGCTGTAACTTCACTCTCATTGACTGTGGGAAGGGGGAGAACCCAAGATGTAACTCATTCCTAAGAAGCCACAGCTTCCCTGAGTTTCAGTCACTAGGTGGACAGAAGCTTGGCTCCCACAGGAATCCTCTAAGAGAAAACAGACTTCTCAGGAGACAATGCGACCCCAAGTGCCAAAGGAAAGCCTAGAAGACTGCTCCCACTAATTCTGGAAAGGACTCACAAGATCTTTCTTTTGACACATAAAATATATCAACAGTCATGTGGTCAATGGCTGTTATTCAAGAGGCAACACAGATGTGTGAAAGAGTGTGTTGGCTTAAATTCTCACTCTGCCTCTTACTCACTCTATGTTAGCCTGGGAGGAATATTTCCCTCTCTGAGCCTGGGAGTTATAATTTATGAAATAGCAGTGTTAATAGTGCCTGCCTCACAAAATTACTGTGAGTATTAAAAGGCTAAACCAACAGCTGTTAAGTCCATCTCATGGTGACCCTCATCCCGTTTCCAAGGTTGTAAATCTTTACAGGAAAACACTACCCACCTTTCTCCCCTGGGTCTGGTGGTTTATCTGAACCCTTGACCTTTCACTGAGGAGTCTAACATGGTACGCACTGTGCCACCATGGCTTCTTACTATGAAGATTACAGACTGCAAATTCTTGTCTTGAGTCTTTTCCTTTTAGGACAGGCCCCTTTCCTCATTTCTTGTGCCTGGTCAATAACCAGTGGGACCCTACACTCCATGATAAAGAATGAGAATAGTATCCAAGCAGGATGAAGTACCTTTGTATATGTACACAAGTTAAGGTCCAAAATATGTGCAAAACATCAGCAATGCCAATGAGAGGCCTTTCTTGGGTAATCAATATGCATGCCTCATACCAAGTGAGTTTTCTTTCTGAGACAAAAATTATTAAAGATCATGTAACCCTGGCGCTCCTGGTAGCCATTTCCCTGTTTGAGGGGACAATATGTAAAAAAAACCAGCCTGTTGCAAGAAGAAAAGTACAACAATGAATGAATGGAAATCCAAAATCTCTGTAAATGTTCATTAAAATTAATAAAATTCGGG